CAAATAATGCCAGAGATGATCAGTTCTATGTTTATATTTCCATTGTGTCCTATCATTTTCCTCTTCAATGCTCCAAACGTCACTACAGGGCGGAAGATATTGCCACGGTTTATTCATTTGGGGTCATGTCAGTTGTGAGAGAAACTGGTTTATGGAACCAACTACAGTATCCAGAGTGGCATTTGCTTTCCAAGATGTGCTAAGTGTGCTTTTGGTGTGCTGATCGCTTGGATGTAATAATTTTGCAAGTACTCCCAACTTTGAAAGGCTTTCCCGGTCATTCATGGGAGTTTTAAGTTTATCTGGTGGTAAAGTGTATATCCTCCACCAGAGCCAGGGCCTTCTCAGTGATGGCTCCGACCTGGTGGAATGCTCTGTCCCATGAGACCAGGGCCCTGCAGGATTTAACTTCCTTCCACAGGGCCTGTAAGACAGAGCTATTCCGCCTGGCTTTCAGCTTGAACTTAGCCTGATCTTTTATTCCCCTTCCGTCCCTCCCCCTCCCCTTTTTATAAAGCTTACCTGCTCTGGGATCCCACAGCTAATTCTCCCCTGGTCTCCTCGCTGGCCCAAATAGGACTAATTTAGCCAGCTAGTCCTGCTAGATCATCTAATGTTTATTGGATGGATTTTCCCCCTAAATTGATTTTTGAATTCTGAATTTATTGTTATTCACGTTTTATACTGTATTTTATGCTGTTTTTTGTAGCATCAATTAAATGTTTAAAATTTGTTGTTAGCTGCCCTGAGCCTGGTTTTTGAACCAGGAAGGGCGGGGTATAAATAAAAAATTATTATTATTATTATTATCGTACTTAATTGGTTAATTAGTCACTGCCCAAGATTAACAATAGCACTGTGGTGTACTCATGCAGCTAGGGGAGTTTGTTGTTTTTGCTTTGTGAGTGCATAAACACACACACACACACAATCAGGTATTTTGCCTTTATGGAATGAATGTGAGTGACCCATGCCACAATGTGACAAAAGGCTAGCGATTTCCTGTGGTTTACAGTGCTGTATATTCTAATGCCAAACCATTATCGGCTTCTTGGATTTGGCTTGCGTCTAGCCTGGAGGGAGACGTCGAGTCTCATTAAGGACAGAGATCTAAGTTCAGGCAGGGACATGGGAGGCTGTTTTTGTATCAGGCCGGAGTCGCAACCTGCTATGTTTTTATTGTTCAAGATGTAATGAGGAACAAATATTATAGTTCGGTATGGGGTCCGTAACCAAAGCGACAAGTAGAAGGTAGTGCATCAAGTGAGAGCTATGCAAAGTTGCAGCCGGAATAACCTTCTACATAATATAGCTAGAGGAAAGGAATAACTTTTGTCTAAAGCTGGGATCCCATAAGGACTCGGACATGCCTACTGGAATGTGTGACTCCCCCCGCACCCAACACACTTTGAATGGCAGACACCTCTGCTTTTGAAATTCTGGTCAGTTTCAGAAGTCACCACACTGCCCCAAAAGCCGCAAGGGAACTTCTGTTGTGCATTTTTATGCACAACAGGCCTAAGTAAAGGTAAAGGACCCCTGGACGGTTAAGTCCAGTCAAAGGTGACTATGGGGTTGCGGCACTCATCTTGCTTTCAGATTGAGGGAGTTGGCGTTTGTCCACAGACAGCTTTCCGGGTCATGTGGCCAGCATGACTAAACCACTTCTGGTGCAACGGGACACCGTGACGAGTGCCAGAGTGCACAGAAACACTGTTTACCTTCCCAACACAGCGGTACCTATTTATCTACTCGCACCAGTGTGCTTTTGAACTGCTAGGTTGGCAGGAGCTGGGACAGAGCAACGGGAGCTCACCCCATCACGGGGATTTGAACTGGCAACTTTCTGATCGGCAAGCCCAAGAGGCTCAGTGGTTTAGACCTCAGCGCCATCTGTGTCACAACAGGCCTAAGACAGAAATCTCATGCATGTTTACATGGAAGAAAGAATTTTTGAACCCAGTTGTACTTCTTTCTTCACCCCCCCATATAAATCCTGCAGAGAAAGAACCTACCTTTTGTCAAGTAAACTTTTTGAAGTTGCCTTTGTTAATATATTTTCCTTCATTTTTGTCAAGGTACCTGAGGGCAGTGATTGTGGGTTACATTAGGAACAAAGAAAGTTGCCTAAATTAATTAATTTTATAACGAATGATTTTAGAGTGTTGTTTGTGCTGTACTTTTGTACAGTGGTGCCCCGCAAGACGAATGCCTCGCAAGACGGAAAAACCGCTAGACGAAAGGGTTTTCCGTTTTGAAGTTGCTTCGCAGGACGAATTCCCCTATGGGCTTGCTTCGCAAGACGAAAATACCTTGCGAGTCTTGAGATTTTTTTCGCTTCCCCCTTTATCTAATCTGCTAAGCCTTTAATAGCCTTTTAATAGCCTTTTAGCAGCTAATCCCTAAGCCTTTAAGCCTTTAATAGCCGCTAAACCGCTAATAGCGCTAATAGCGCTAATCCGTCAATGGGCTTGCTTCGCAAGACGAAAAAACCGCTAGACGAAGACTCTCGCGGAACGGATTAATTTCGTCTTGCGAGGCACCACTGTACTATTTTATTGTTGTTAGCCACCCTGAGCCCGGCTTCGGCTGGGGAGGGCGGGATATAAATAATAATAATAATAATTATTATTATTACACTGAGTCACATCATTGATCAATGTAGCTTAGTATCCAATCCAAACCAAATAACTTTATTGTGCTAGCTATTGGCCATGACAAATCTGAAACAAAAATAAATGCACGTAAAGGGATACCATGCCACAAATAATAGTCTCTGTTTAGATCTCTGCATCTCCCTTACAGATGTAGCTTAGTATTATCTACACTTATTAGAAGCAGCTGTCTGGGGCTTCATTTCCCAGCCCCGCCCCTAGTTATTGGGTTGCTGGGGGGTTATTGGGTTGTTGTTTTTATTTTGATTATATATTTTGTGGTTTTATATTCTGATTTTGTTCTGTGAACTGCCCTGAGACCTTTGGGAATAGAGCGGTATATAAATTCAATAAATAAATAAAATAAAAATAGTTACCTGAGATTAAATCTGGGACCCTCTGCATTGCTGGTGAGCTAAGGCCTTTCTGCGCCTTTCTACAATATTGGGTTTGTTTCAGGGAGAGAGAGCAAGAGAGAGAGAGAAAGAAAGAGAGAGTGTAACAAGTCTGGGGCACCCAGGGTGCTTTATGGACAAATGGAGATTTGAATCTGGGTCTTTGGAGCCCATGCCTCTCCTTATGACAGCACAGAGGCTAACAGTGACCTCACCTGTCAGCCCTTTTTGAAGTCAAGGCACCAGTGTTTGCCCTCTGCATGTTTGTTGTATTATTATATTTTCTGTAGGAAGTAAACCTTGTTTTATTTGCGTCTGAAGGGTCCAATTTGCTTTAGTTTCTATTTGACTTAAATGTTGAAAGACCACACAGAAGACTCTTAAATTTTAGTTTACTGCTTTCAGTGAATAAACAAGTATTTTTATTTTATTTTTTAAGAAAGACAGCCTGCATTGAAAGAAAGATGCCAAAGAATAGCAGCTCTATTTTGATGCCTCAGGCAAAGAACTGAATAGGGAGAGGTTTTTCTTTGCTGTCTTCCTCTTCCTCATAAGCCTGGGTCCCTAATCATTAATAGTGGTGGTCTAACCACATTTTTCATTTCCTCCCACTGCAAGCCCAGATCCTTTCCTCTCTCTTCCCCTTCACCTCTTCCTTAACCTTCAATGGGGCCAATGCAAACATTTTTAAAAGATTTATTTCAAGCAGCTTCTGACATTTGGCGTTTGCATTAAGACCTCCAGGATTCGCTTTTGTGCGTGAGCCTGAAATGCAGGAGGAAATCCTGCAATCAAGTTTCATAGTTTGTGCATCCTTAAAATTCTGCACGCTCTCTCTCTCTCTCTCCCTCTCTGTTCCCCTTTCTTCAATATTTTCCACTGTGGAAAATTTAGGCAGTGAGTGGAAGTATCCACATTAACTCTGGAAATTCTTAAGTCAGGAAAATATTACTTGGTGTCGTTGTCATTATGCTGGCCTGGAAGAAAAATGTTTAAATGCTAGGTGAACAGACTCTACCACTTGCAAACATATATAAAGACAACTATGAAAAGGGTTGGAACGAAATAAAAAGAAATCTAGGTATATGGGGAAGAATGAACTTATCATTATTAGGCAGAATTGTAGCCATTAAGATAAACACATTGCCCAAAATGTTATTTTTGTTTCAGTCAATACCAGTAATAAGTAAGACATCAAAAAATGGCAAAAGGATATCTCAAAATTTCTATGGAAAGGAAAGAAACCAAGGATAAAACATATTTACAGATATTAAAGACAGAGGAGGTTTCTCCCTTCCAGATTTCAAACTATATTATGAAGCTGCATGTTACTTGGGTCCGAGATTGGATTAAACTAGAAAATACTATCTGATTAATTTTAACGTTATGCTTCAATAATCAGAATTCCTGGCCCCCTTTGATTCTACAGAACACTGCGCTCTGGATGTTCAAGACACAACAGTGAATAATATCCTTAATTTTGTGTGTGTGTGTGTGTGTGTGTGTGCCACAATTGTGCAGGAGTTCAGAAGAAGCACAGAATGTGGATGTGCTTCATGAGGACTTTTGCAGTCCTTTTTTTTTTTTAAAGGAGGTTTCTAGTCGTTATGGCTGAAGGCACTGAATCTGAAAGTCTATGCTTGCTGAAATCCTAGAAGCCAAGTCTGAGATTTCCAGTAGGGCATTGGGCTTCAGTGTATACAGTAGGTACATACGGTTCCTTTGCGGGGGGGGGGGGGAGTGCAGAGGTACGCATTCCCCTAAACATTTTGTGAATCTAAGTTTGGCCTCACTGAGGGGCAGTATTTCAATACAAGTAGGAAAATGAGAGTGCCCCTAAATATTTTTTTAATAGAAAAATAGCACTGGGTACATAAGAAAAAGACCTGCTAGTTTAGACTAAAACCCATCATCCTATTTTCCACAGTGGCCAGCCAGATACCTAGGCAAAGCCTGCAGAATAGCTCAGTCAGCAGAGCATGAGACTCTCAAGGTTGTGGGTTTGAACCCCACATCGGGCAAAAAGAATCCTGCATTGCAGGGGGTTGGACTAGATGTGGTCCCTTCCAACTGTACAATTCTATGGTTTTATTATTCTACGTAGGACATGAGCGCAATCAAATTCTCCTGCTTATGCATAGCCATCATACTCTTCATTATTAGCACAAGTACAGTGGTACCTTAGGTTACATACGCTTCAGGTTACAGACTCCGCTAACCCAAAAATAGTGCTTCAGGTTAAGAACTTTGCTTCAGGATGAGAACAGAAATCGTGCTCCAGCGGTGTGGCGGCAGCAGGAGGCCCCATTAGCTAAAGTGGTGCTTCAGGTTAAGAACAGTTTCAGGTTAAGAACAGACCTCCAGAACGAATTAAGTACTTAACCCGAGGTACCACTGTATGTCCCGCTTTTCCTTCAAGGAGCTCAAGGTGGTTTACATGGCTCTCCCTCTCTCCATTTTAATCCTCACAACAAGCCTGTGAAGTAAGTTAGGCTGAGATCGACAGTGGCTGGCCCAAGTTCACCCCAGGAGCTTCATGGCTGAGAGGGCATTTGAATCCTGGTTTCCCATGCTACAGGGGTCAGCAAACTTTTGCAGCAGGGGGCTGGTCCACTGTCCCTCAGACCTTGTGGGGGGCTGAACTATATTTTGGAAATATATATATATATATATGAACGAATTCCTATGCCGCACAAATAACCCAGAGATGCATTTTAAATAAAAGGACACATTCTACTCATGTGAAAACACACTGATTCCCAGACTGTACGCGGGCCATATTTAGAAGGTGATTAGGCCGGATCCAGCCCCCGGGCCTTAGTTTGCCTACCCATGTGCTAGTCCAACACATAGAACTCATAGCCTCATTCTTCACAATTTTGTCTAATCCCGTTGCCCCTCCCCATCATGATCAAAACCAGAATCATGATGCACAATGTTTTCTCGCTTTAAACAGGTTGCAGAAGTAACCACGTTTTTCTTTGTGCGCAGCTTTTGGAGCCATTGGGTTAATACTTCTAGTACAGAGTACATAGTCCCATGTGTACTGAATTATAGTAGGTGTGCTCATTGCAGCTGTCAGCTGATAGCATGAATCTGGGAAGATGCCAGTTCTCAGGGTTTGCTTCTTCACTTTTGCAATAATGGGTGTGTTAATCAACATGGGGCGTGGGAATCCCCACTTGAGTCTCCCGAACTATACTATCCCTGGCCCAATTCAATTAAAATATGTGCATAAAAGTTATATGTAATGAGGGGACCCGCACACTGGTCTTCTCTTTCCTACATCTGGCGCATGGGTGTGCCACACAGACATTACATGCAAATTGTCTGCAAATGTTAAGCTTGAGTAGACCCAAGCCATTTGGTTGTTAACTCACATAGATCTGGGAAATTACCCAAACTCTTCAGGCCCTGGTAAGCTTTATTATTTTGGAAGCTACTGTGAATTCTTTCCCTTTCGGTGTTTTAAGGGATCTTGTGGTTGTTTAGTCGTTTAGTCGTGTCCGACTCTTCGTGACCCCATGGACCAGAGCACGCCAGGCACTCCTGTCTTCCACTGCTTCCCGCAGTTTGGTCAAACTCATGTTCGTAGCTTCGAGAACACTGTCCAGCCATCTTGTCCTCCGTTGTCCCCTTCTCCCTGTGCCCTCCATCTTTCCCAACATCAGGGTCTTTTCCAGGGAGTCTTCTCTTCTCATGAGGTGGCCAGAGTATTGGAGCCACAGCTTCAGGTTCTGTCCTTCCAGTGAGTACTCAGGGCTGATTTCCTTAAGAATGGATAGGTTTGATCTTCTTGCAGTCCATGGGACTCTCAAGAGTCTCCTCCAGCACCATAATTCAAAAGCATCAATTCTTCAGTGATCAGCCTTCTTTATGGTCCAGCTCTCACTTCCATACATCACTACTGGGAAATTAAGGGACCTAAGCAGTGCTATTTTTCTAGAAAAAAGAGATGCCGGAAGTCACCATGAACGCCTCCCTTGTTCTGTTATAATGGCAATGGCGCCCACTTGAGAGGTGCCGGAACAGCAGTCCAATGAGTTCCAGCTGGGGGGGGGGGGGAAGCACTGGATCTAAGTGATCTTCCACACGCATCACTTGTAGTGTTAGCAGCTGATTGATCTGCAGATCACACATTCTCACATTCCTGTTATGCTGCTCACTCGGGTTGTGAGCCATGATGGTTAGGTGCTCGGAATGGAAGGAAAATACCCTGAAGGTCTTCATCACATCCAAATCCCGAATGATTACTGTTGTTGTTATTATGCTTGATATTTCCCCACTCATACCTCCCATCAGTGACTTAGATAAAGGTGTTGGGACTTGATATTTTAAAGGTAAGGGAAACTAAGATCTGATGTGGAGTGGCTGAGCATTAGAAACACCTCCCCCCCCCCAACTGATAAATGAGTGGGGAAAAACCAACAGTGGTAATCAGAGGCTCAGGATTTAGAAATTTATTTCTGTGGTAGGAGCTAGCTGCTAGACAAACCTAAACCTTCCATAGACTGAAAAATCACTCTCTGATCTTGGGAATTTGGCTCAAAGGGATATTAAACCCGCAGTCTCTCTCTCTCTCTGAGAACTTAAGCTTTGAAAATCTCTTTAACAATGGCCATTTCATTCCATCTCCATTTTTAGAGACACACCCGATGGTTTTTTTTCCTTCATCCTTCCCATTCTTTTGCCTCCACATTCCTTGTCAATTTCTTGGCCACACATCCTTGTCGTTTCTCCCCTTTATTTATTTTAAATATTTATAGCCCTTCACCCATGGCAAAACCAAGGTGGGGTGCAACAAACAAAAGAACCATATAGCAACAATCTAACTTTTTTTTTGAAAAAATGTAATGATAATCATGTTAAGTCAGCTAAAAGCAGTCAACTGCTAAGCGGGTTAAGCAATCAAGGCTGAAACTGCTGAAAGGATCAGGTGTATAAATGCATCTTTTAAGGCACTGGCAGGCTAATACAGTGAGATGCGCTCTTCTAGATATATGGGTACCAAGTATCTTAGGGCTTTAGCATTAAGCACCAGTGAATTGGGCCCAGAAGCAAGGAGGCAGCCAGGAGTGTGACTCCTGCAGAATTGATGTGCTGTGATTTCACCAGTCTGAACTGGCTAATATTCTGGCACCCATATTCTGCTTTAATTGAGTTCAGCTCCCGAGCAGCCTTCAAGTGTAGTCTCAGTTGGGAGGTGACTAGAACGTTGATCAGATGTCTCGTCCAAATGTCACCTGTGGAAAAATCCAGAAATATCTCTGTCGGATGAATTCTCTCCATGCAGGCATTGCAACCTTTGGCAGCGTCCACCGTCATGCCATGAATTCTGTGGGGAGAGAATTCTTAATCCACCGTTGGACCCATCGCTACACATTGTGGCATGTGTCAACTGTTTCAGTTTGTTATGAAGGGAACATGCAGATCTGGAATGGGGAACCTGTGACGCTTCAGTTTTTGTGGTATTTCCATCAGCCCCAGTCAGCAAGGGTGGGGGATGATGGGACTTGTAGTCCAACAACATTTGAAGGGCTACAGGTTCACCAGTCCTGCTACATGGTTTCCATCAGGGCCCTTTTTCAGCAGGAACTCAAGTGGGTGCCATCACCCCAAAATGGCAGGTCCTTGTGTCTCAATGGGAGCACAAACCACACATCCGTCGGGTTCTTCAGGCCTTCAAAGTGCTGGTCTGTGCGCAGCCTCATGGGGTTAAGGAAGAACTCCACAGAAATGCAGAAAGCAATGAGTAGGGTTAGGAGAAGGCCTAGGATGGCAGATATCACGCTGTTGAGCAAAAACCAGTCGTTCCTCTCTCCCACACAGCCATTGAGCCACATGCAGTGATGATCAAATCCACGCACAGACACTTGTTGCAGGTCCCACAGTGCTTTGATGACACATTGACATCACAGATGTGACAGTGGAGGTTTTCAATGACTTGAGCATGCTGGATTCAGTTGAAAGAGAATGAGGGATTTTGTTCATGGTAAGTTCTGGCACCTCTTTTCTTCTAGAAAATCAGCACTGGTATCCCTTCCTCGCTCTTTTTTCTTGCACCAACTTCCCTTCAGTTACTTTTAAAAGCTGAATTGAGGGTGAGGCAAGGGAAAGGCAGACAGGGAGTGAGGTGAAGGCAGTCTGTAGTGGGAAGATCAAGGACTCCTGGTTGCTCCCTATTTTATAGGGGTCAGGGAATCACATGACCTTCTGGCCTGCTGGTATACAGGTGAAACTCGAAAAATTAGAATATCGTGGAAAAGTTCCTTGATTTCCGTAATTCAACTTAAAATAAAAGGTGAAACTAATATATGAGATAGACTCGTGACATGCAAAGCGAGATATTTTTGCCTTGATTTGTTATCATTGTGATGGTCATGGCATACAGCTGATGAAAACCCCAAATTAACAATCTCAGAAAATTAGAATATTCAAGGAAATCAGCAAAACAAAGATTGCAAATGGAGCAAGATTGGACCTCTGAGAAGTGGAAGCACATCTTGCTTTGCATGTCATGAGTCGATCTCATATATTAGTTTCACCTTGGAAGTTGAATTCCTGAAATCAATGAACTTTTCCACGATATTCTAATTTTTCGAGTTTCACCTGTAAATCAGCTCAAGTGTGGCCAGTCTCGCTGCATTTCCCTTCTTTGACTAGAGCCAGCCAGTTGTGTACAGGTTGAATCCATGCCTCAAATTCCTCAGGCCTCCACTTAAGTACGCACTGCAGCTCAAAGCTCTTGACAGACCTAAAGATACCGATCTGAACTTAAAACAATAGCGCTTGCAGGCTTACGTAATTTTTGTCCCAAGTTAATAGTCTCAAGGTTTCCCTGCCGTCTGTGCTGCATTAAGCGTTCTCACCGACCGGGAGAAAGCAATTTGCAAGTTGAGTCTTCTGACTGATTCTTCATCTGACACAGTCCTTTCTCGTGACAGGTTGCTGAATTCCATAAAGCCTGGTTTGGTCAAAAAGATCAACAGACTGCCAACTCCCATTGCAGGACTGGTAAGTA